TCAGAACACAGAATCTTTGTTCTCATCCAATCAGAACATAGAATCCTCATTCTTGATGGATCGCGACACACAGTCCTCATCTTCGCCCAATCAGAACACAGATTCCTTGTTCTCATCCAATCAGAACACACAATCCACATTTTCGCCCTTGTCCAATCAGAACATAAATTCCTCATCTTCGTCCAATCATAATAGAGAATCCTTGTCCTCAACTAATCAGAGCACAGAATCATCATCCAATCAGAACACACAATCCTCGTCCAATCAGAGGGATCCGCTCCTGGAATTCATTCTCTCCAGACAGAAGAAATTTCTAGCCCCGCCCACTTTCACGTCACCATGCGATTCATCGTTTCCTCAAGAAGCGTCTACAAACAGGGACAGTTTCTTTGAGGCGCCGCACATTTCTGACCAGAACTCCACGTCTGATGATGTCTTCAAGACGCCGTCGTCCACCGCAGGAACCAGCGACGCAGACCTGAGGGTGTTTGACCCTCTGTTTGAGCCCCAGAGTGAAGTTCAGTCCATTCAGAAGAGCAGTTTGGAGGCGCTGCTCATCAACGCATCCAGAGGTCTGACGGATGGAGGTGTTCAGGGGACGGCAGGTGGAGAAACACCTTCCGCATACACCTCCAGTGGAGAAACGGTGAGGACACACTCGCATCACACACCTCAGGAAAAGCTGATCAGGGCTTTCTAGATCATAGTCAATACCATAGTCTGTCAATTCATCTGACAATATGTACTTTGAATGGGTAGATGGGTTGGGTGGATGTTACATGGATGGATGGGTTGGCGGGATGATAGATGGGTGTATGATGGATGTATAATAAATAGGTGGTTTAGTGGATGGGTGGGGCGAGTAGTGGATGGGTGGACAAGTGATGGATGGATAGATGGGTGCATGATAGATGGGTGAATGATGGATGGGTGGATGATAGATGGGTGAATGATGGATGGATGTATATTGAATGTGTGATTGAGTGGATGGATGGGTGGACGAATGATGGATGGAAGAGCTGGGTGGATGATGGCTGAATTGATGAGTGGATTGATGAATGAATGATGGATGGGGTAAGTGGGTGTATGATAGATGGGTAGATGATGAAGGGGTCGATTTATTGGACGATGGATGTATGGGTGATTGGGATGGGTGGATTATGGGTGGGTGAATGGTGGATGGATGAATGATTGATTGGTGGATTGATGGATGGATCAATGGTGGATGGGTGTATGATAGATGGGTAGATGATGAAGGGGTCGATTTATTGGACGATGGATGTATGGGTGATTGGGATGGGTGGATTATGGGTGGGTGAATGGTGGATGGATGAATGATTGATTGGTGGATTGATGGATGGATGAATGGTGGATGGGTGTATGATAGATGGGTAGATGATGAAGGGGTCGATTTATTGGACGATGGATGTATGGGTGATTGGGATGGATTGATGAATGAATGATAGATGGGGTGGGTGGATAAATAGATAATGGATGGTTGAGTGGATGATGGATGGGATGGGTGAGGTAAGTGATGAATGATGAATTGATGGATGGATGGGCTGGGTGGATGATAGATTGATGGGTGGATTGTTGAATGAATGATGGATAGGGTGATTTGGTGTTTAATGGATGGGTGGTTGAGTGGATGATGGATGGATGGGTGATTGGATAGGTGGATGGTGGATTGATGGATGAGGTGGGTGGATGATAAATGGGTAGATGATGGACGGATGGATGCGTAGATGATGGATGAGTGATTGAGTGGGTGAATGGTGGATGGATGGATTGATGGGGTGGGTGGATGGTCAATGGACGGATGGATGCGTAGATGGTTTAGTTGTGGTTGAGTGGATGGATGGATGGATGGGTTATTATGAATGGGTGAATGGTGGATGGATGAATGGTTGAGTGAATGATGGATGGGAAGGGTGAGGTGAGTGGTGAATGGATGAATGATGGATGGATGGGTGATTATGATAGGTGGATGGTGGATTGTGAATGGTGGATGGATGGATAATGGATGGGTGGTTGAGTGAATGAGGGATGGGAAGGGTGAGGTGAGTGGTGAATGAGTGGTAAATGGATGGATGGATGGATGGAATGTGTGATTATGATAGGTGGATGGTGGATTTTGAAAGGGTTAATGGTGGATGGATGGATGGATGGATGGATGGATGGGTGGTTGAGTGAATGAGGGATGGAAAGGGTGAGGTGAGTGGTGAATGAGTGGTCAATAGATGAATGAATGATGGATGGATGTGTGATTATGATAGGTGGATGGTGGATTTTGAAAGGGTTAATAGTGGATGGAAGGGTGGTTGAGTGGATGAGGGATGGGAAGGGTGAGGTGAGTGGTCAATGAATGAATGATGGATGGATGG